CCCTCTCTCTACGATTGTCGCCTTTTGGCGCTTCGGTTACCCGCAACCGATGCAGAAAAAGGAAGGCTCGCCGCAGAGACCATGGGGGGGGGGGGGGGGGTGTAGCAGCGGTGAGGGAATAGTGTTGCTGACTTCCGTTAGATGATTCTACGATAACTTGAGTATTAACCTCTATTATGTTGCAGTTACAATGAATTGAGAAATAAGAGGAAAAGAGTGGTTGTGGTTTTGACCTGCCACACTACAGGGATGACCAAAATATTAAACAGGCGTTACCACCTCTCTCATATATATGGACGATACAGTGCTAATGGCTGATAGCTGTACATATCTCCTAGAATTGATGTATATATGTGTCACCGAAGGAAAAAGGCTAGGTCTTGAATTTGGTAAGAACAACTCAGCAGACCTGAATTTTTATGACAAGAAGTTAATAAGCAAGAATACGTGGTTAAGAGATAAATGAGTAAATATATATAAGCACCCAAAGGTATGGGTTCATGGCAGTGAAGATCATTTCAGTCAGCATAAAAAAATGAAAGAGGTTTGCAACCCCTTGTTACGCCGAATTGGAGCGCAGCTTTTGAGAAGGAGGAGGGAAGGGTACTGAGGGGAGGGTATACCCCTCCTCCCTCCTCCTCACCTCCTCATTCTCCCCGCTACTTTTCCTCCCATCCTTCCTCCACTTCTTCCTCCTCCTCCTCCTCTGGTCGTCCTCCCCTCAACCTTCAAGCTCCTCCCCTACTCATTCCTCCTCCTCCCCTCCCTCCTCTCTTCTTCCTCATCCTTCCTCCTCCCCTCTTTCCTTCCCCTCTTTCCCCTTCTCCACCCCCTCATCCTCATTTGTCATCTCCTACTCTTCCCTCCTCCTCTTCCCTCCCCTCCTCCCCCTCGTCCTCCGCGCCAGCCCCTCGTCCTCCCCCTCCTCCTCCCTCCTCCTCCTGTGCTATAAAGTGCGCCGCGCAGGACCCTCGGATTATGGGACAGCACCCATTATGGGGTGCTGTCCCAAATGCACCGCGGGACCTTCGTGACGTCACACATGACGTCACGAAGGTCCCGCGGTGCATTATGGGACATTTCCCATAATGCACCGCCGACACTGCTCAAGCCCGAAAAGGGCGCCTAAGAGCTTCGCGCTAAAAAAATGTAACTGGTATGGGCAACAAAAATGAACCTACTGTAATGAAGTATAGAGCTTTGCAGAATTATAGCAGCTATAAAGTAGTGAGGAAAATTTGAAAGGGAGTTATACATACTGCGCCGAATCGAACGTTTGTGTGTACAAGAAGTTGATATCCAAGCAAAGTTAGAACTAAAACAACACGGCGTCGGTAGACTGACGTTATGAGTGCATGCGAAAACACCGAACCAAAAGGTACGGGGGGTAATGGATAGTAATCTTTTGAAAGAAGGGAAGCTGGTAGTAAGATAGCAACTGAAACGATATTAAGAAAGTTCGAATTCGAAGTAATGTTTATTAAACATAAATTACAAGAAATCCGAAAAGAAATGTCTTCCGGCAACGTAAGCCAAGAGCGACATGAGAACGTTAGTTCCTCGTTGGGAGTCCCCAGCCGGATGCGTCCAGTCTATGAGGCTCGAGGGTCTTTCGTCTTCCTGAAGAGCACTTAGTCTTCCTGAAGAGCGTTGCACTTCCGCAGGTATGGTCTAGTTGGGACGGTCCCATCTTCTTTGCACCTCTGACACCTTGGGTCAGGAGGAGTGGCAAAGGGCTCCAATATTTTGAATTGAGCTAAGCCTACGATGTACTTGAACATGGGCGTGACCGCTACACAGAATCGGACATGCGGAGAAGTATCATCTACTTGCGCGTTAAGGTTCTTCGGGAATCCGGTATTCGTCTCCTTCTTGACCTTCGGAGCTTGCAACAGTATTAGTTGCTGTCCCTTAGACGCCCTACAGATCTCTTTTACAGGGTCGTATTTGCAGGGTGACGCCCGCTTTGATTTGCGGGACAGCACGAAGCCATGGGACGGAGACGTGAGGATACGCATCCCTCACTGAGCCGGCTCATGAACCGTCGAGTTGCCCGTGTTGTCTTCGTGCACGGGAACCCCCCATATTATGCTAACCCTCATACTAAATTTCATGTAAGATACTACTGGCAACTCCTGCGGAGCGCGGACGACATGTGATCACAGCGCCCCTGGCGAGCCCGGAGTCCCCGCTAGCAGACCAATTCTCCACAAGGCATTGGTTTTGCCTATCTCCGTGCATGGTGATCAATGAAAAAAAAAATTGGCACGGGTATTCGCTGCTTTGAATGTTAAAAAAAAGGTGCCACCTCGTGAGTAAAGGACCTTTTCTTCTCGTGGAAAAGATGCTACAGCTTCTAGGGTGCATTTTTCGGCTCTTCTGAAGAAAACGCTCGGTCAAAACTTTCGTTTCTGGCAAAATAGCAATTTACCTTCGCCCTGTGTTTTGAAAAAGCGCAACGTAAAAAAAAAAAAGAAATCAGAACATAGCTACGTTTAAACTTTACTTTTCTTATGAATCAATTCGTTTTGTTGTTGCAATTCTAATTTCTCATGAATGACTGTTTCGTCGAATAGGCAAGCTTGCTAACTTCGATCGTCCCCGGATCAAGAAGCAAAACGCAATTTCGAACCGCGTTCGTTACTGCGATGTCAGTATGCTCTGGAAGAAGTTGATTGTGCACATGCAAATCTGACGCTATTTGGAAACCTAATATAAGCGGAGATAGAAAAAAAAAAAAAAAAAAAAAGCAGCCGTTGAACGTCCTGCATTTTCTTCTATTTTTGGAAGTCTACTTTATTTTTATTTTTTTTGTTTAAGGTTCCGCTGTGCCGCCGCGGTCTTTATTCCTCCTGTGTTTATGTTTTTTGTTTGCTTTCTCCTTTCTGGTGTTTACTTGACGTTCATCGCGTATTTTGCTTTGCATTGTTTGGCTTAGTTTTTACTTTTTTACTTTCCTTCGTCGCTTACTACCACCGGTTCGTCTGCTACGCTATGCCCGGACATCTAGAGGGCCGTCTGCAACTTTGTTGTTGTTGTTTTTCTTTGTTTTTCCACTGTCGTCTGTGATAACCTCCTATGTTCGGCTTTGATTGAGTTTCTCATCCAAAATCTTCTTTTGTAATTTTTGATGCTTAATAAATATAATAAAAAGTGTAAGGTCGTTATAGATTTCTATGCCGATTTTATTTGAGCACGAAGTCGCGTCTGCTATGGGTCATCGTTGGTTTGATCAACCGGCCGCCTTCAGGCATACAGCAGCGCATACTTGGAAATGGCAGACATGCTATGGGCTGCATACCACTGCAAAAACAAGTTGTGATGTGGTGGTAATCCTTCTTCCGCTTCCCGAAGACCGATCAAACGTGAGTCATTAAGTCACTTCAAACTAAACTGGAAGAGCTATCACGATTCCCCCGGTGGCAGTTCCCCCGTCCCAAATGCCCCGTGCCATTTCCCCCGAGTGTCAAAATCCCCGTTGTCAAATTCCCCGTCTTGCCTCCCCCGAGCGCCAGCACCCCCGTATCCAATTCCCCCATGTTGCAACTTTTGTGTGCCTCTCTATCCAGTGGCAATCAGTTGATCGAACGACGTTTCATCGACATATCGTTTCATCAAAAGTTTGTTACACCAACTGCTCGGATTAGCTTCCTTTTGTAATAAGTCGCCTGTGTCTGTCGCCGCGAGGCGGTGTGGACGGGTGGTCCGCCTGGATTAACATGGGTCCCTGTGATGCACGTGCGACGAAGCTAGTTTTAGAGCGCAGCTCTTAGGGGCCCGTTTCCGGCTTGAGCGGCGTCGCCGTCGGCGTCGGCGTCGCCGTCGCCGTCGCCGTCGGCGTCGGCGTAACCGCGCGGTGCATCATGGGAAATGTCCCATAATGCACCGCGCGAGCCCACCACCAAGGTCACGTGACCTCGTGGGGGGTCACGTGACCCCCCGAAGTCACGTGGCCCCCTCCTCGAGGTCACGTGACCCCCGCCGATGTCGCGTGACCCCCCGATGACGTCATCGTCACTGATGACGTCACCGGCATCCACATCGTCATCGTCATCATCACTGATGACGTCACCGGCATCCACATCGTCATCGTCATCATCACTGATGACGTCACCGGCATCCACATCGTCATCGTCATCACTGATGACGTCACCGGCATCCGCATCGTCATCGTCATCATCACTGATGACGTCACCGGCATCCACATCGTCATCGTCATCATCACTGATGACGTCACCGGCATCCACATCGTCATCGTCATCATCACTGATGACGTCACCGGCATCCGCATCGTCATCGTCATCATCACTGATGACGTCACCGGCATCCACATCGTCATCGTCATCATCACTGATGACGTCACCGGCATCCACATCGTCATCGTCATCATCACTGATGACGTCACCGGCATCCACATCGTCATCGTCATCATCACTGATGACGTCACCGACATCCGCATTGTCATCGTCATCATCACTGATGACGTCATCAGTGACGTCACTGATGTCGTCACCGGCATCCGCATCGTCATCGTCATCATCACTGATGACGTCATCAGCGACGTCACTGATGACGTCACCGACATTCGCATCGTCATCGTCATCATCAATGGTGAAGTCATCAGTGACGTCACTAATGACGTCATCGGTACCCGCATCGTCATCGTCACTGATGACGTCATCAGTGACGTCAGTGATGACATCATCGGCATTGGGGGTCACGTGACCCCCAAGGTAACGTGACCCCCCCCTGGTTAGTTTAACCCCCCCCCAGTGCCCTTCCCTCCTCCTCCTCAAGAGCTGCGCTCTAATTCGGCGTTACAGGGAGTTGTAAGCGGCTTTCATTTTTTTTTACACGAAACATGGTGCCGATGAAACGAGTGTCACTGAAACGATACGGACGCCCGTTGATCACCTCCGATGTTCTTTGAAACCAACGCACACTGTTATTCCGTGATCCTGTGTCAGTTCAGTGATTGACAATATTGCAAATTATGGGAGATTTATTAACATGTTAATGTATACAGTTTTGTTGAAGCAATGTCCACTACTTAGATACCGCAATATCGCTGCACCAGCCTCAGGAACTCTTGAATGTTGAGCTCTCCATTGGACAGACGCTGCTCGAGCTTCCTGATGGCTTCGTCCTTCATCTCCCACTTCTTTTGTCGCTTTCGGGCTTGGCCGCCGTTGGATACCTGGAGGAGGGTGACTCTGCTAGTGGCCTCGTCCCGCTTGATGTGCTCCACGAAAGTGTAGACATTGGGGTGCGCTTTCCCGATGGCGTTGTTAATTTTTCTGTAAATAAAAAGCACAAGGATTACAACTCCTGGTAAATAAGCATTCTGATTTTTTATAGCAAATTTATACCATACTGAAAAATGAACTGACCGGTGCCAGGCCTCCTCTAGGTTGTTTGTCCGGGCTCCGCTGTTTTGGTGGTGGTTCCACTGCTGGGTGTCGTAGTTTCCTAAGAGCCAAGTATCCTCGAAGTACAGGATAAATTGTGGGACTCCAAGGGCTGGTGGTGCAGTTGCCTTCAAACCCCGCCAAGCAATACGTACGAACGCTGGCGGGACAAAGGCCAAATTGATTGTCTGGCGTACAGACATCGTTACCGAAGAATCTTCCTGGTAAGCCTTGGCAAGTCCGAGTTCTTGAACCTTCCTCCAGATTGCTTGAGCGAAGTTAAAATGGCAACCCTGGTGCAGGATTCCAGGAAAAACGAAAAGAAAAGCCTGGATAAGGGCCAGTTCAAAGTCCGTACGGACAACGCTGAGTGACAGAGGTGCACGAAGAGCGTCCAACGCCGTCTTGAAGTTCGTGAAGGCCGACACATATACTTTTCGAGACTTCCCAGGTAGAAGAAAGTAGGCGATATTGAAGCTCAAACCCTCTTTGACGGCGCTTATTGTGACTAGTTGATAAAACAATGACGGGCAGGAGAAAAACGTGAAATCGATGAACACTTCAACCATTTCCGAAAAATGAAAAAGCAGCTCCTGCGTGCAAAAGCAAAGAACACGGCCTGCACGTATGCTGACGTCGAACAGCAGGAAGTCTCGCTTGTCGAGTGTCTCCGTATGTAGTCTTCCAAGGTTAATCTCGGCCATGTCCCTTGGTAGGCTCGGTTGCTGCTTTCTCTTCTCCCTGTACATGGTGCTCCTCACGCTCTCAAAAGTCGGCAGCTCAGCCATCACCGTGTCGTCAACCTAGAACAAATTGGTCCCGTCACAAACAAGGTTCAATCGCGGACACCATGAACACGTATACGCGTGTAATAAAACATAGTATGTAAAGACGAGACAATGTTTTTGCTTACTTGACCCACAAGGCTAAAGATCTCTCTGCTGTACACTTGCGGTGCTGGCAAATGCGGCTCCAACCTAACCCTTTGCTTCAGTGCATTCTTCAGTCGCGCTTCCCGAAGTTGGCTGCTATCAGGTGGATGGTTGTGCTCTGAAACACATAGACGGGATGATAATAAAACGCCGCAGCAGATTTTAGCCTCATTCATTCAGTGCCCTTCAAGCTGAACAGCAATACGAGAGTTTGCGAAAGTAAAAAAGGAAAGTCATTAGCTCACCTTGTGTTGTCTTGACGAATTTTCCGTGCTTCGTGAGAACTGCTGCTTTGCAGTTATTTGTCCAGTATTTAGCACATCTCCAGGCAGTTTTCTCATCTTGGTTCTTCCGCTGAAAGCAATACTTAAATCCGACTAGTACTAAGGCCTCCTTCCTTTTTTCCGTTTTTAAATATTCGACCTCCATCTCCTGCTTCTCAACCTCGTCTGGGAAGCCTCCAATGTTGAAAGTTCCTTAAATAGAACTCACCTGTTAGCGTTCGAGGTTTCTTTGTTCTTGTTGACCCTCGGTATGCAGTTTTTCTTTCGTCCCGTAACGAGAATCGGGGGCAGAGGACGGGGGGAACTGATAAGGGGATGGGGGCACGGGGTTTTTGGAACCCGGGGGAAATGAAGTCGGGGGAGAAAAACGCGGGCAATTTGCAGCGGGGATATCGACACGGGGGAATCGGGATTGGGTGATTTCGTGCACCACCCCAACAGGTGATTATGAACACTCCACGGTGACCGCTGAGAACTTCACGGACAACATACCAAATGCACTACTGAACACCCAGTCCTATGCTTGTCGGTTGCGCAGAGGGAGTCGTGTACGTGATTCAGTTTTCATGCGGTAAAGAGTACATCGGGCAAAAAGGCAGATGCCTAAATGATAGGATATGAGAGCGCAATTTGAATGTTAATAACCACCGTGACGGTCATCTTTCAGTTCATTGTCACGATTGTGGGTGCAGCCCCTTGTTTAACATGTGCGCGATTCTAGCCAGACACAAGGATAGGACGGTCAGGGAAATAATAGAAGCAGACTTGATAAAACAGTCTGGAGCACAATGTGTCAGCGTTGCCTCCATTGACCTGTTAGACAAAGAGATAGCGTTTTCGCGAGCGACGGTGAGGCCTGGGTTTGGCTGAGCTGAAGCGGTTCGAGTGTATATATGTCCCCCCCCCCCCCTTTTTTTTCTTAAATAATCAGTTGAAGTAGAGCTCCGTGTTGTCGAGTCTCCCTTTTGTCCTCGTCCGAAGCGCTATCATGACGTCAAAATTTCCATGGTTCCTTAGAAAATGAAAAGCTCTGGCGATATACTCAGAGACCCAAGCTAAATTAAAACAATTTTTTGTGGGTATTCATGCTCCAGGCACTTCTTTGTATCTCCTTTAAACTCCACCTAAAGATATCACCGACAGGCTCATCCTTTTTTTTGTTGTTGAACCAAAAACGTTTTTCGGTTTGTGGGCGTGAGAACGATGCATCGTCTGACTGAGAAATGATAGTCAGGCTGAAACCACCGCGTACTCCTACGAATCTGCTGATCTTCAAGACAACGGCAATCAAAATGGTCCACTGCGCTCTTTCCACTCGAGCTTATCCCCCTCTCGGAACTTGAACTTCAAGTCATATACCACAACGTTCGTAATAATGATATCAGGGATCATTGCTGCATGAGGTTCAGAATAACGTTCCAACCGAATTGAACCTCAACCTTCGTCTCCATCATCTGACCAAGGTGGTACATAAAAAATACTGCGTACTCGGACAATCTCGTCTCGAGGATTTTTTTTTTTTTTTGTGTTCACGAGACGAATAAACATGTTTTTTATATGACACGTTTTATAGCTCTTAAAATTCTCTGCGACGATTTTGCGTCGCTTGTACTAGTAAAATAGCTTATAAAATAATGTTTTCCTTGAAATTGACACCGAATCTTTTGAAGTTTATGAACGCTCCACTGCAATTTCGCAGCTTCTTGATAGTTTCGTCCAGCTCTGTTTCCGTGACGTGATACCAGACCTGAATGTCGGTCAAGGTAACTTGTGAACCCTTGTTCATCTGGAGTTACACTTGTGCATCTTTACTTTGAGATTCCAGAAACCTGTCATCTCGGTCGAAAGTGGACAGGACCCTCAATATTACTTCTACGGTGTACCATTTCTTTCAATCTTGATCGGACACTTGGAAGACTCTTTTATTTCTGCACATCTGGGCGATGCAACATTTTGTTCCTCATATTATGCCATTTTAAACTGGAAATAGTATTTTTAATCGGCGTGACCGGAAACAACTATCGCTTCCGCCAACGGCTCAAATAGATCCCAGAGGAACCAACCAACACCAACGCTGCCCACTTTATGACGCCGCCGCGTCTGTGTCTCTTGGTATGACAACGATTCGATCAAGAGGGACATAACTTCGTTTGAGGGAGCGGTGAACAAACCGCGTCCTCTTTGGAGAATAACATGACGGACTAGTGCTGTAGTCGTCATTAAGAGAGATGCGAGACTGCTCCGAATTTTCGTACTTTCTTTTATACTTCACTTGCGTCCTTTTGCGATCTTTCGGTAGTAAAGCGGGTTATAATTTGGATGACGCGCGTAATTCCCGTACTCAAATGGTTCACCGGAACCATGACTTTGGGCAGGCCTGCAAATATGCTGCGAACAAAAAGTTGCATGATTGAAAATAAAATATCAAGCAAAATCTATGAACTTGAAGAAATATAAAAACAGCTACCAATTAATTCATGTCAACAATCGTTTTGGAAGCGGAATTTAGAAACGTAATTACGATCTTTGTGTGCAATTGTCAAATTAACGATTGCACGCATCGTAAATTTCAAAATAAACGATCCATGGAGGTTTATATCTCTAAAAATATCCTGCAGTTTGAACGAAGAAATAACGTAGAATCGAAGGAATTAAGAAACGTTTTATTACACAAACATCCCCAGCATTCCGGGACATGCTCCCCTTGCGCCCGCTCTTGACTGTTCTTAATAAAACGCAGTAAAATGTTTATTTCAGCGAAACTATTGCATAAATTCTTAAACTTCCCGGGATATCTATAGAGGGCACTAATACACTATTATCTAGTCCCTAGTTTAACGTCAGGTTGGCATACTTTTTTAATTTCTGGGCTTGACTTTTTTTTTCGTTGAGTTCTAGGGCCGTTTCGACATAATTCGAATTTCTTACTGAAATGACGAATCGCAATCTTCCCGAGAAATATATTAGCTGCCGACTCATCGCATATGCCGCAGTTAAAATGTTGGTATTTTAATGAACACTTTTTGTTCCTCGTGACTTTCCGTATTGGGCCTGCATTTCGTCCTGTAATGTTAGCACATCGCCGTGCACCAAACAGCTTGCGGCCAAGCTACATTTACATAGGCTATTCGCAAAAAAAGATTTGTACGATACATTTGTGGGCAGCGTATAGACCTATTGCTAAATCACCCAAGCACCAAGGCGAATGCAGGGAATGGTGTTCCACGCGCCGCAGGCGCACGCCTTCCCTGTAGGAAATATTCAAGGCAAACAGAAAAAAAAAAAGCGTTGATGAACGCGCGTTTAAGAAGCCAGTTGTTTTAGGCTTTCGCTTTAAAACAACTACTGCTGTAGACGCCAGCACGTGCGGCTTGTGGAAAACCATTCCCTGCATTCTCCTTGATTCTTGGGTAATTTAGGAATAGGTCTGTTGACTAAGAATGTGAAGGTTATAATATGACTATAGAAAAATTTGATGTTTACCATCAAAATGTGTCCCTGGATTTCCAAATATAAGCAACTGTTATATAGGGTCAGAAACAGGGACTCAAACTGCAACCGAAATCGAAATCAAAAGCCGCTTAGGAACATTTTTCCAGTAACGGTAAACGTAACTAAACCGTTATTTGAAAGTCGTTAAAACTATAACCGTAACAGTAATGCTAGTTTAGCGAAATTGCTAGCAAATTCGTTCTTCTTCTACCAAAATCTGGCAGTTACGCTGGTGGAGAGAGGTCGAAGTGTTACGCAGTACACTTTGTTTGACAAATTACCCAAGCACCACGGGGGATGCTCGGAACATGGATACGGGTGCCACACACACACGCCATGTTGCCTGGAGGAACGCTCCATTTCCTTCAAATTTTCTTTAGAAAAGTTACTCTTGCACACGCCAGCGCGTGTAACTACTTTTGACGCATGCACACGCTCCTTGGTGCTTACGTAATTTAGAAAAATATCTATGGACGCTTTGCACACGCGCCAGATTACGGCCGTCATTGCTGACATTCTCTTGTCTAACCAGATCCAATAAAGTGATCTTTGACTAGCTTCTACAAAGGCCAGTGATCGAAAGGACACAGTAGAATCTAAAAGTGCAATAACCTACCCTGTTGTGCTCATTGTGAAGTAAGTGAACAACACAAAAAGAAACCAAAAGTTGAAGGTCGCTTACGACTGGGCCCGTGCACAGCTGCTGAAAGCGTGTTCATACCGTTCGAGAAAAGCGCTTCTGGTCAGTGTCATTTTCACGTTCGTAAATGTGCCGCGTACTTTGCTCGCCTTTCAAAGCGGCTAACATGCGCGTGCTGGGCTGTGGCCAGTGGCGTGATAACTTGTTTTTGAGTAGGGCGG